ATAAAATATCCTGGGTCCGATACATTTGTTGCAACATTGGTTGCAAACACCCTGCAGCTGATGCATGGAACATTTTCTGCCCAAGGCCATTTCCTCCCCTTCCTTGCCCCCGCATAAGCAAGGCTATATAAGTAAACCGCGGCTGCTAGACTGGGTCACTGTCCTCCCATCAGGAGACAGCTGTCCACCTTGCCCCCGCTTTCAAGTACTTCTTTGTCTGTCTTTTCTTAATCCTCCGTCACCCCCACTCCCACCCGTTCAACTAGCCGTGCTAGACACGGCAGAATACAATAACTGAAATGAAGAATGCACTAGAAGGAATCACCAGCAGACTAGATGAAGAAGAGGATCAGATCAGTGGTTTGGAAGACAAGGTAGCAGAATACACCCAATAGGAACAGCAAAAAAAAAAAAAAAGAGGGTAGATTAAAAGACCTCAGGGACAACATCAAGCATAACATTTGCATCATAGGGGTACCAGAAGGAGAAGAGAGAAAGCATGGGATTGAGAACCTATTTGAAGAAATTATGACTGAAAACTTTCTTAACCTGGTGAAGGAAAGAGGCATACAAGCACAGAAAGCAAACAAGATGAACCCAAACAGGCCCACACCAAGACCCATCATAATTAGAATAGCAAAGGTTAAAGACAAAGACAGAATCCTAAAAGCAGCAAAAAAAAGGTAACTAGTAACTTATAAGGGAGCTCCCATAAGATTGTCTGCTGATTTCTCAATAGAAACTTCGCAGGCCAGAAGGGACTGGCACAAAATATTCAACATCCTTGAAAGCAAGGAACTACAACCAAGACTACTCTACCCAGCAAGGCTATCATTTAAAATCAAAGGACAGATAAAGGGCTTCTCAGACAAGAAAAATCTAAAGGAGTTCTTCACAGCCAAAGCAGTATTACAGGAACGTTACAGGGACTTCTGTAACACACACACACACACACACACACACACACACACACACACACACACACACACACACACACACACACAAATAAAATGGCAATAGCTTCATATCTATTAATTACTTTCAATGTAAATGGATTAAATGCTCCGATCAAAAGGCATAGCAGGGCTGAATGGATAAGACAACAAAACCCGTACATATGCTGCCTACAAGAGACTCGCTTCAGGTTGAAAGACACACACAGATAGAAAGTAAAGGAATGGAAAAAGACATTTCATGAAAATGGAAATGAACAAAACAAAAAAAGCTAGGGTATCAATACTTATATCAGACAAAATAGACTTTCAAGCAAAGACTATAACAAGTAATAAAGAAGGACCCAGTAATCCCACTTCTGGGTATTTATCCAAAGAAACTCAAAATACTACTTCAAGGGGATGTGTGCATCCATATGTTCACTGTACCATTGTTTACAATGGCCAAGATGTGGAGGCGGTCTGGGTGTCTGTTGATGGAAGAATTGATAGAGTAGATGGTACAAATATACAATGGAATATTGCTTGGCCAGGGAAGCGAATGTGTTCTTGCCATCTGCAGCGGCATGAATGGACCTGGAGGGTATTGTGCTGAGTGAAGTATGTCAGACAGAGAAAGACAGATGCAATGTGATTTCGCTTATCTGTGGAATCTAAAGAACAAAATAAACAAACAAAAAGAAACAAACTCATAGATACAGAAAACATTTTGATGGTTGCCAGATGGGAGAGGGGTTGGGGGTGTGGGTGAAAGAAGGGGAAGGAGTTAAGTATAAATTGGTTGTTACACAGTTATGGAAATGTAGGGTATAGCATAAGGAGTGTAGTCAATATTGTAATAACTATGCATGGTGTCAAATGGGTCCTAGATTTGTTGGGGTGATAGATAGGAGGGGGTCAGGGGGCAGGGTGAAAAAGGTGAAGGTGTTAAAAAGTACAAAATGGTAGTTACAAAATAGGGATGGAGATGTAATGTAAAGCACAAGGAATATAGTCAATAATATGGTAATAACTATGTATAGTGCCAGGTGGGTACTAGTAAGGGGGATCACTTCTTAAATTATATAAATGTCTAACTACTATGTGGTACACCTGAAATTAATATAAAATATAGAAAGTCAATAGAATTGATATTTTTAAAAGGGGGAAAAGGGGGAAGGGAAATAAGAGGTCCAAATTTCTAGGTATAAAACAAATAAATCATGTAATGTACAGCATAGGGAATATAGTCAATAATATTGTGACAGCATGGTACAGTGGACTTATCACGGTGATCACTTCTTTAGGTAAATAAATGTGAATAACTGGTTACCCCTGAAACTAACATAATATTGCATGTTAGCTATATTTTTAATAAAAATATTTTTAAATAAGAAAAGTCTATATTATTATACTTTCCATTATATGGTCAGAAGGCAGGAAGTTGGGTTCCCTATGACAATTTGGGCTGATTGTTTTGAGAGGTCTGTTCTGGATAAAAAGTCTTTGTAATTATTTTCACCCAGTCTGTAGTTTATCTTTTCATTCTCTTCAGTGTCTTAAACAGAATTTTAAATTTTATCAGTTTTTTCTTTTATGGATTATGCTTTTAGTGTCTTAAGAATTCTTTGCCTAACATCAAGTCATGAAGATCCAAGGAAAAGCATTCAAAATCATTTGCCTTGTATTTAAATGGACTATTAGGTTTCTTGCTTAATTCTTGAAGCAAATTCATTCCTGAAAGTTTAAGTTTTAAAAAGTTCATTTTATCTGGACACATTTCTTCAAGCTGCTGCAAACACAATTTAATTACCTTGTTGGTAAAGGGCTTTCCTTGCTTGGCTAACAGGTAAGCCACTTGGAAACATTAGTTACAGTTTCACTAATTTTTTGGGTCAAATCATGTGCTGAGATATTCCATTTAAAATATTCTAATTCTTCTGGCTGTTGCTTTCCTGTGAGTTGGGAATATTGTGACGAGTGATTAGTCTGGTAATGTCAACATAGATTGTATTCTTTTGGCATAGCTGAAGTGTCACAATATAAACAATGCTTTGCCATCTGATTTGATAAAATAACCCAGTGAGCTTAAGTATGATGTTCTAAGTTCATGTTTCTCTTCCTTTTACATGATCGGTATGCACTGGTAAAAAAGAAAAAAAAACCAAACATACAATTTATGGTGCCGTGATCTACATGGCACTCCAAGGACATCACACTGAAACCACATCACTTCCATTTGTAGCACATCCAGCAGCACCGAGCACTAAGGACCACATATGGTCTCTGCCACAACTAAACTCCTGCAGCACAAACGCAGCCACAAGAATGTCAATAAATGTGGCTGTGTTGGGCTGGCCGAGTGGCATGTTGGTTAAGAGTTGGCTTGGGACGCCAGCTCTGAGCAGCAGGGCCCCAGTTCAGATCCCACATGAGGGCCAGTGTCGCTGCGCCCTCTACAACTAAGATGGTGAACAACAGCTCAACCTGGAGCTGGGCTGCCATGAGTTGCCAGCGACAGTGTAGGCTGCAGTGGAGCTGCAGTGGGCTCCTTAAGTTATTGTGAGCAGCTGGCAGCCAGTGTGAGCTGCTAAGAGCTGCTGTGACCAGCCGTCCAGTGACTGGCAACCGATCTGCCTCAACCAGGAAGAGCGCAATAATACCAACATGGGCCAGAGAAGCGACGTCCTCAACTAGACTGAACAAAAGGACGGCAACTTATCTGTTCCCCTTCCCCGATTCCCCAACGCTGTTCCCCTCCACCAATTCCCCTATAAAGTCTTTTTTTTTTTTTTTTAAAGAAATGTGGCTGTGTTCGAGTAAACCTTTATTTATGGACACTGAAATTTGCATTTCGCGTGCCATGAAATTTAGTTTGTCAACCACTTAAAAACAAAAACAGGCAGCAGATAGGACTCGACAATGTAGTTAGGTTCCACAAACACACACTTTTGTAAGGGCAGCAGCCATTTGCATCAGTTGATGCATGGGGACAGCTGACGTGTTTCCTAACTTGTGTCAGTCTTTGAACAAGAAATAGCCTTTGCTGTGTTAGGCCGGAATTCCTATTAGCACAGTGTATCCTAATTTTCCGTCTCATACCATCAAGTCTTAGTGATCAGGTACCTTGGATATAGCCACACTATTCCAAATAATGCTAACAGAAAGCCTCATTTTGTAGTGTCAAGCATTTATTCACTTGCTATCCCATCTTATGGCAAGTGTGCAGCTTGCGAAGTGTCTGGCTCCAACTGAACCTGGTCTGGGGATTCCTTTTTTTGTTTACAGCTTTTTGTTAATTATATATAATACAACACAAACTAAAGTTTCCACATTTTGGTATTTCCTCATTAAAAATACCAATTTTTATGTAGTTGTGGTCACTCTGATAATTTTGAATTGTACTTTTATCACCTTACTTGTCCATATTACTGCAAACATGTTATTGGTTGAGCAGGCTTCCACTCAATGCCAGCCTGATTTTTTCCCTACAGATCCGAAAATCAAACCCACACCACCCTGATGAATTTTCTGAAGACACAAATCTAGTCCACAGGAAAATATTCTTCATAATCACAACTTCAACTCTATATATCTTATAAAAAATATCCACAGCTATACGCTAAAGATGGGATGACCGCTTCCCAGCTCCACAGTACATTAAAAAATACCTTACACATTCAGTGATGGATGAATGGCTCCATGCCTAAGTGGGGTGGGTGGGTGATAGGCTAGGAAGGGGAAATATTCAGCATATCTTTGCTATATATACATGTATATATATGTATATGACCCTTGGGGAGACAAAACATGGCAGACTGCACTGATAAGCTTATCTGATGTTTTCTCAGAGGGGAAACCAGAGGGACATCCAGATTCACAAAGTTGAGAAATGGTTCAAAAAGGGAGGCAGTTATTATTCAACAAATAACACATTGAACACATTCTATTTATCAGGTACTATTCTAGAGGTAAAATATGCTCTTTGTAGACACTTGAGGCCAATTCTGTCTTGCATTATCAAAATATCCAGCCCAGTGCCATATTAAAGAATTAACAAATACTGTATGAAAAAAATGGTGTCAAGTTTTTAATGAATCTGGATTAGCTAATAATAAAAGCAGATTTCTAGGGCATCAGGAACTTAAAAATAGTTGAGAAAGTGAAAACCTACCATTTTACTTCAAGACATTTGAGTCCCACTTGCATACAAATAAATTGTAGAAAACATTTATTTGCTGGTCAGTTTGAATCATGAAATACAATTTCACACTGATGACACTGATACAAAATGGTAGTTATTAACCCATGCTAGCCTACTGAAAACTAATTTAACGTAAGTAAAATGATCATATACACATAAATGAATCTGTATTAATATTTAAACTGCCTTCTCATTCTCCATTTAACTTCTGGTTTCAACTTTCTGCTGTTGAAGTCTCAAGTAGCCTTATGGGTTAAATGGGCACAGCCTAACACAGCCTTGTAAATGGTCAAGCAAGATTTTCTTTTCTTTATTTGATGGTAACAGCAAAGGCTGCGGTTTAGTACTTAAACCTGCAGTTAATGGTGACCCTTCTATCCAGGCAGAGTAACTAAAGACAGCTATGACATCTATAAAGGAAACTATTATAGAAGAGACTGGGAGAAAGTGAGGTAAGCCTGGCTACTGCAAGCTGGTATGGACTCAGCGAGGGGCAAGCCAAAATCACTGGCTGCTCTCCTTACTGACATGAACAGTGTTTCTTCTGATAATCTTGTCAACAGTTGCATTCCATCGTATCTGGTTAAATACCGACAAAACAAAAAACAAAAATAGCCCTCATATTAAAATCACATTTTCCAGAAGTATTATATGCAATACATTCAGAATCACTGACTACTTTTTCTTCGTCTTTTTTTCCTTGAACGTGTAGGTGTTTCAGTCTCTTCTGTTTCTTCTTTTATGCCAGATAAGGGCTGTTTGAAAACTATTTCATTATCTTTATCATCATCTTTCATTTCAGCCACTTCAGATTTTCTTTTCTCCAAAAATGTTGGTGTACAAACTGGTGTGGGGCCCTGGATTCAACAAGTAAAAAAAGATTATATATAATTATAAATGTGGGAAGTTATGAGGAATGACTACCCCCACACCTCCCCTCTATTTTTACCAGTTGTGTCATGTTATTTTGTCCCGTTTCCATCTTTCGGTGATATAACTGCATTTAATAAAGAGCATATTAGGTGCCTAACAAACTTAGTAAGAAAAGTGACAATTAATTGAAACATAATATGCTCCATTATAAGGTATGAGGCAGAAAACTCTCATCTTATATTAATAAAAATAGTGGCCTTGTTTCTCCTTACTGACTCACTTTGCTTAAGAGGTAAAAACTCCAATAAACTCACAATGATAACTTTTGCTAGTAAGATTACTGTACCTACTAGTCACAAGATTTAATTTGAAATTTTAACAAAGTGACAGTAGCAGAAACTGCTTTTCCACTTTTGAATTCTAATACCTTATTCCCAGAATACTGAAGACATTTTACCTGGCTATCCACAGTCGTCTCAGGAGTGTTAGGAGCTACTGAAACCTTCTTCTTCTTCCTCGTCATCTTTTTCTTCTTCTTCTTAATAAATAAATTTTAAGAGACTTCATCAATCTGTATACATATCAGTTATAGTAGTCTTGAATATATTTTCCCATTTATCTCTCCCTGATATCTGGCATGTAATAGGATAAAGAAAAATTTTACCTGGCTCTTTGTAGATTTCCGAAGATCAGTATTTGATGCATTGCTTTTTTCCTCTTTATGTAAAATCTTAAGTAAACATAAGAAGTTATACACTGGCAGTCTCACATGTTTACATTTTTTAACTCACCATTAGATCCTTATACATATTATCAGCAAATCCTCCCCAAATAACAGAGCATTTCCATTTAAAAAGCAAACTCCACAAGTATAGTGATCTTAAGTAAACGTCAAAATTAGAAGAGGGGGCTGAGGAATGGGCAGAAGCTGCAGAGGTTGAAATGAGGCCGAAACCTGGAGCTGGCCCACAGAATACTGGTTTAGCTCCTAAATGGTTCGTAGAAGTACCAGGGCCCAAGGACTGTGATGTCATTTTGACATACACTGTTAAAGACTATGTTTGGGCAAAGAATTAACAACCCGGAGATGGGCCAAAGGAGGAAACTTAGTCTTCTTGTTTGTGGATAAAGTTAAAAGACCCAATAAGCTTGGGAATAGGTGGTATTTCTTACCAACAAATTAGCTTTTTGGAAATAAGCTGACCAGGTCTATGGAAGACCCCAAAACAACCTCAAGATTTAGTCAAGAAAAGAAATAAGATCTTCACCTCTACTAGCCACACCCTGCTGACCTACATTCTTGTTTTGTAGTAAAAGATACATCTTTCCTTACCGTGAAAGTGGGAGGAAAGGTTCAACAAGCAAGGATGTAAGAACTGGATGCAAATCTGTGCTAACTCATTTTCATGTAAGTAGGCTTGCTACAATTCAACCCCTGTTCATTTAATTCAGAGATGATACCTACTGGTTAAATCTGATATACACTTTAAGAACACTTCCAATTTAAAAGAACACAACAAAATTTTAACTAGAATGGCATAAAAAGGATTGTCAATTTATAGTCTCAATGTTTACTGACAGCATATAATGAACCAAACATCATTTAATTCTGGTAATACCTTTAATAGCAATCTACGAGCATTATGGTTTTTGGTTAAACTTTAATTAAAAAACAGACCATGAAAATTTTGCAAATCAGCTAATCTCTTTCTGGTTTCCTCTTCTATATAATGGAATTAATTAGATCTGCTCTGACGAACTTTAAGAAGAACCTACAATGCAATGCTTCAGAAATTTAGTCAAACCCTAGTGATAAGCAATGAGCTAGATACTTTATATATAAAATCATAAACATGTTACTGCTAGTGAGGCACAAAGGCGACCCCAAGAAAAAACAGAAAAATATTTCATGAAGAAATTATTTACCAATGAAGGAAAATCATAATCAATTCCTTTCTTAGCTAATCTCTTTCTGAGTAATTTTTCTTTCTTTTTAAATCGCTCCTCCATCCGTAGCCTTTGAAGAAGTGTCCGGTTCTGATTATACCGCTTCACTGCTGGATATGATGGCTTAAACGGAGCATGCCACTCTCTAAAAAGTTCCTCATGTACTTTCTCAGGTGGTATAGTATGACCTATTGAAAAAGAAAAAAGTTTTCAACCAAGTGGGAGGGTGGGGATTTTTTTTTTTTTTTGAAGATTTTATTGGGGAATTGGGGAAGGGGAACATTGTGTTTTTCCAGGACCCATCAGTTCCAAGTCAAGTTGTTGTCCTTCAATCTTAATTGTGGAGGGCGCAAGCTCAGCTCCAAGTCCAGTCGCCACTTTCACTCTAGTTGCGGAGGGGTAGGGGGTGGCTGCAGCCCACTATCCCATGCAGAAGTCGAACTGGCAACCTTGTTGTTAAGAGCATGCGCTCTCACCAGCTGAGCCATCGGCTGCCCACCGGCAGCTCAGCTCGGGCGCAGCTCACTGGCCCATGTGGGAATTGAATTGGCAATCCTGTTGCTCAGAGCTCGCGCTCTAGCCAACTGAGCCACCCGGCTGGCCAGGGCAAGGATTTTAAGGTTAACTTTAGAATTTACCCTGTGTCATTCCCCATATCATAATCAAGATGATGTATCTCCCATTTACGTGTAAAAGCCTGAAGAATGAAGCAGGTACCCAGAAGGAAGTCATACAGTCAACAACCATTTATTCATCACCTACTTACTGTATGCCAAGAGCTGTTCCAGGAGCTAGGAATACGTAAGTGAATATGACCAGTAGTATAAAAGAAAGACTTGGTGGCATCAAGTCTCTGAGGTTCCTGAAGCTAAAAGGATCCTTAGATTGTGACCTGCTGTAGCAGAAGCTCTCACTTTCCACCTCAGATCCTCTGGGCTAAGGCAGCTTACTGCTTATCTGCATCTCTCTGCTTCAGGGCCCCTTTATGGCTATGGAAGCACACTGGGACCCTATGAAAGGCAAGCCAAAAACCCTGGAATTAACCCTCAACCACTAATGGACTGGGAGTTGGTAGATACTCCAGTTCCCTTGCCTGTGAGTTGGGATAATTCTGTCTCCCAATGTTACCCAGAAGGATGGAGCCCAGTTGCCTAAATAATACCTTGCTTATTAACACCCTTTATTGACTTCCTTCCCCTGTCTCACTTCTCCACTCCCTACAAGTATTTCCTGGGATCACCTCCAAAATAAACTACTTTCACTAAAAACAAAACTAAACAAATAAAAAAAAGTGGCTCATTTCACTCATATCAGAATTCAGAACCCTTCTGTGCTCCCTTTCAAAAGTCAGATACAACACAGCATTGATCCTACACGTGTAGCCCTGTCCCCTTTTGGATCACCCACTCAGCCCATTTCCTCCTGGCAAGAGCCATTTTTAACTAACATGTGAGTGAACCCATGACCTCAGGGAGGCTACTGGGGTTCTCTCACAGCAACAGGAAGGGATACAGGGAAGCTACTTGGGCAGCCTCATCGCTGCTCGAACAGGTGTGTGTGACTTAGGCAGCTGGGCTGGTCACACTCCACTATGAGCACAGGGAGGCCAGAAACTTAACTCTGACTCCCAAGGGCACAGGGATGCAAAGTCAACAGCTCTACTTTCTGTAGGATGAACTTCTAATCTGGTGTTGTCATTCCTCTACTCCTTATGGCCGCTCTTGCGGAAGAGCTATAGCCAGTCATTCAGACCGACTTTGAAATCTGATTCCTTACCTTTAATGTTATCCTATCTAGAACCTTTAATGGTTTCTCACTGTCCTCAGGATATATATTCTAACCTCCCAGATTTATAAGCCCTTCAATAACCTGATCTCCTCTCATCTCTTGCTATTTTCCTCACATTCCCTCAGAGGCAAATACTGTTAGCCACCCCTGGTTTTGCATTTGCTGGATCCTCAGCCAGGATCTCAATCTTTACTCCCTTCCCCTAAACCTGGCTCACTTGTACTTCATCCTCAGATTCCAGTCTAAATGACACTTCCTCAGGCAAGCCTTCCACATCCAGTAAAGGTGGGTTAGCTGCTCTTCCTGAGTACTCCTAAAGTAACTTGTCCCAATTCCATCTCAGCATAAAACCAGCTCTCAATCTGGAAGATTTATTCTAATTAGAATCTGTTTGGAAAATGCACTGGAATCTTTGCACCATTCCTTGAGAGATGTATCCCAGCATGAGTGGGATGTCCAAGCAGCTAAGCAATCTGTCCTTCAGCAGCAGGCACCCAGGCAACCCTAACGTAAGAGCACTTACACTTCAAAAGTCTTTCCCCAAAAAGGTAGTTGTTCATTGTTTCAGCAACTATCTTGGCAACATCTTCAGATTCAAACTCCACGAAGGCATAGCCTCTGCTATTTCCAGTCTGCAATTAAAAAATCCACCACAAAAAACAAGAACATGTAAACTTTAATGCATCACGAACTCCAAAAATGCCATTAATTTAAATGTACACTAGCCTCATTATCGAGTAACGTTTAATTCCAACTTCAACTCACATAATGTGGGGACTGTTATGGGAAAAGAAAAGATCCAAGATAGGCTGAGCATGCTACTGGTTTTGAGGTATTCTTGGGATTTTGATTACATGTGATAAACATTGGGTTGTTGGGAAAGTCATGACATTTTTCTCTGTTTTTCAATGCAAAAATGTGTCATGACTTTCCCGACGACCCAATACATTACTATAGTTGGAATTTATTCAAGAGCCAGCAACACCCCATCATATAAGGAAATCTGGTAGGGCCCTACAGTCCTTTTACTCATCATCGATCTCATTGGTAGTCATATTGTTCATGTATTAATAATACCCAGGATATAGTAACATGCTTCACAAGGAATGCACGTCATATAATTCCCATTTTATATACAAGAACCGAAGAGAAATTAATCCCTCAACATCTCCAAGCTAATCAATAAAATAATGCATTCACTGTCATGTTTACCGGTGGCTGGTCATCTAGCTGGGGGCAAAGGAACAGTGCCAACATTTCTCTGAAATGCCACCCTGTGCTCCTGGACTTCCATGCCACAACATAAAGTGGATGTTCTTACCTATCTCACTAACAAGAGTATGGGTTCTGGAGTCCCTGGCCAGGTTTGGATCCTGGCTCTGACACATACTTGGCTAAGTAATGTTTAAGCCTCAGTTTTCAATTCTATAAAATGGGGATAAAATAACCACTCTCATAGGGTTGCTATGAAGATATGAAGTGATCCATAGTGCACCGCATGATGTCTGTCAAGTACTCAATAAATGTTACGGAAGGGTGGCAGACTATACCATACCCAAACATGCTACTTTGGCATAAGGATTACTTTGAGTTGAACGCAATTGAAAAGTAGTTACAAGAAATGCTCTCCGCCCTCCCACTATTTGCCTAAAAGCAGGAACATACATTTACAAAGGTGTCTTCCCTCTTCTTTCTGCCAGAAACTCAAAAGTTAAAGGAATCTACATAACAAACTTTACCAGCCAGACTTTATCATTAGTTTCCCATGCATTTGTCTCCCCACAATTTGCAGCCCTAGAAACTCAAAGCCCCTTTCCTTTGTCTTGTCACTTCTCTAAAAATGTACTGTTCCTTTGCTAAGAAGCTATATAGGCCCAAGTTCTAACTACCCTTTGAGTTATTCATATCTGAGTACTCCCATGTGCAAACATACTTCTGTCTGCTTGTTAATCTGTCTTTTGTCAGCCCAATTTACAGGGTCCCAGCTAGGGTAGTAGTGCAGTAGAAAAAAAATCTTTTTTTCCTCCTTTACCGTTCCAAGTATTAATGACAATTACTAGAAATATTTCATAATCTTACATATTTTTGGTTATAGACCAAAACTGGCGATGTGACTCTGGAAATAAGAGGTCACTTAAAAGGTTCATGGCTTAACAGAGTGGGAGCCAGGAGGCTCATTTCTAGTACCAGATGTGCCACTAACTAGCAACTTGGACATGTCCAACACAACTCTGAGTCTCAGTTTAGTGATCTGCAAGAGAGGATTTTGATAAAAATTTGACTTTCTGCAATCCCAATTCTGACAGGGAGGGGAAAAAGGGTGGAGTGGAAGAGACACTGTGAAATCCAACTTAACGTACCACACTGTAAACTGATATAAACCTTTTGAAAAGTGATTCAAAATATACATGAGTATCCAAACCTTTACCTAGTAATCTCATAAAGATAGAAATGCCAAACAAATAATCAAAACCGAGGAAGGTGGTAACTTTACTATGCAACAATGCGGTAAGTAGAAAATGTTAGTGCATCTCCTCAAGGAGCAGGCTGTCTATAAAAGACTACTGGCCTGAACAAAAAAGCCGACGTCAAAAAAATTTAAAAAAAAAAATTCTTAAGCAAAAAAAGGGCACAGAGACTATTGGGATAGACTGAAGAACTATACCAACCAAATGTAATGCATGAACCTTCATTGGATCCCAGAAAGCGTAGGGAAAAAATTAGCTAAAGACATTTGTGGGACTACTGGGAATATGTGAAGATGGACAGTACATACTAGACTATTATATTATGGTTATGTAGAAGAATGTCCTGATTCCTAGATTTAAAACAAAGTATTTAGTGTTAAAAGTATCATGACTGCTACTCTCTTGAAGTTCAACAAAACAAAAAAGCATGTACGTTTTTATAGCCATGGGGACATGAAACTAACGTGTCAGGATGTTAATAATGGGTGAATCCAGGTGAAGGGTAGAGATGTTCATTATAGTATTCTTTCTATTTCTCTGTAGACTTCAAAATTTTCAAACTACAAAGCTGTGGGGAAACAATGACTATGTTGTAATATGGAAAACCATTTACAAAATAACATCTCACAAATGGCAGAAAAATGTTTTTAAAAAAGACAATAAGAAATGGCAAAAGATATGAACAGGCAACTGACAGAAGAGGGAATTCCAAAGGCTAATAAACACAGAATGACACTTAACCTCACTAAGAATAAGGTAGACACCAAAACCATGACCATTCCATACTAAGTGATTCTGAGGGTATGCTACAAAGCAGTATTTCTGAAACTCAGTTTGACTTGTAGAGGGCAATAAAATCAATTTACTAGGTCAGAAAGGTATTTTAAAAAAATTGAATAGAAAGGTTAAGTAGTGTCTCACGTTGACTTTTACTTCAGTTATGTTTACATGCATGTGTATGTGTGCTGGCTTCTGCTGTAGAACTTATTTCTTATTATGGGTTCAAAAGTCTGAAAAATACGATTTTGGAGAAGGTGGCTGCCTACATCTGCACAAAAAGACTGTTCCTAGCAGCTTCACCTGTAAAAGTGAAAAATGGTAAAAACCTAATATTCAGTAGGAAGGTAGATAGACAAACTTGAGTATATTCAAGCCAAGGAACACAGCAAAGACAACGATGGACCCGAGTTACACACATAAAACCCAAATCAGACTATTGAATGAATGAATGAAGTTACAGGATGACAGAACATATAATTAATGTAAATTTCAAACAACTAATATTATATAATGTATATTGATATATATAGTAAAGGTTTCAAAACACATAGCAATAAAAAACACTGGATTCATGAACAATAGTTTCCTAGGATGGGGAGAAAGTGCAGAGACCTGGGAAAGGCTACAAAAGGGACCTCAAGTCAACCTACAACCATTTCTGAAAGAACGAAGATCTGAAGCAAGTGTGAGATCCAGGTGACATCAGATAAAGGGAGATGGTGGATACCTAAATAGTCATTAAATCATTCTCTTGTAGACTTCAGGCTATTTGAAGTAAATTACCCACATAATAAGCAACTATTACAAATAGGCAAATGGAAAAAAAAATAGAGGAACAGAGAAAACATGTTATTTTGTTTAGGAAAAGAAAAATACTAGGGAATTTTAAATTTAAAATCCCCTTTAATGTTGAGATGTTGCTTTGACAAAACTTAATGCCTGTGGTTTTATGACAACTGGCAAGTGACGGATGCATATTCTATTCCCTCACATGCCAACTCAAGTATAAAATTTAACTTTCACCTGTTATAACTCAAGTGCAAAAACTGCATCAAGAAAAAAGACATTCAGAGAAATAAAGTTTCTTTGAACTTTCAAAAAAAAAAAGACATTCCAACAATGAGAGGTCTCCACGGTTACAACCAACAAGAGTGTATGTGTGCAGGAAGGAAATAAAGTAGGTCACTCCTCTATTACTGAAACAAACCACATAAACCTTTTAAAATTAGGAGATAAGGGGCCGACCGAGTGGCGCGTTGGTTAAGAGCTGGCTTGGGATGCCAGAGGGCCCCGGTTCAGATCCCACATATGAGGGCCAGTGACACTGCCCTCTACAGCTAAGATGCTGAACAACAGCTCAACCTGGAGCTGGGGAAGGCTGCAGCCTCTGCTGCAGTGGGTTGCCATGGGCTACCGTGTGTAGCCAGCAGCCAGTGTGAGCGGCCAAGCAGCCGCTATGAGCAGCCATCCAGAAGCCGGCAGATGAGCGATATGATGGTGCCAACTTGGGCCAGTGAAGCAACGTCCTCCACAACTAGACTGAAGAACAAAATGACAGTAACTTGTCTGTTCCCCTTCCCCCAATTCCCCAATAAAAATCTTTAAAAAATAAAATAAAATAAAATAAAATTAGATAAGAATGACATAACAATAACATATACACACACATACACATACTATGTAGCAAGTATTGTTCTAAGAGGCTTGCATTCATTATCTTCTTTAATCTTTGATTAGAGACTCCTAGGAGATTGGTGCTATTTTACAAATCAGAAAACAAAAGCACGGAGAAGTTATATAATTTGTCCAAGGTCATACAACTAGTAGCCTGTAGAGTCAAGGTAGTCTGGTCCCAGTGTCTGTATTCTTAACTATTCACTACACGTACCTTCGCTATTATAGAGATGCCTACACCGGAGGCTAATACAAGAAGATGTAAGAACCTGCTCCTCAAACTGAAGTTCATGTACACCTGACTTAGTAGCCAAGGATAAACTGAATTCATTTACCAAAACTGTCAATTTAATTTGAAGATCTGGAGGAATTACTTTCTTTAATAGTAAAACAAACATTTACAGCAATACTGATTTTGTTTTTCTTTCAGGTTCTAAACCTTACCCACCTCCCCCTTTCTGGTGTTAAGTCTGATAAGCAATAACATGTGAACATGCTCTCTAAACTGTCAAGGACGATGTAATTTTGAAAAATAAAACAACTTACTTCAATACAAAAATCTTACCCGTTTACTTCTGGACAGTCTGAATCTCGTAACAGTACCGAACTGGGAGAAATATGCTCGGATCTGGGTTTCGTAAAGCGCTGGAGGTAGGTGGCCCACATAGATTACTCCAGGAGTAAGTTTTTCTTTTACTTGCTTCTGTTTCTGAAGTCGTAAAAAAGAAGTAAATACTTTAATTTAAAAAAAAAATCATATTGCAACAAAACTTGCAAAACCCTTAGCTCTCAGTCCAAGACAACAGATGAAGAACCTGCCCTGTGCTTCCACTTAAAAGAGCAGTCACTAAAGAATTCGCTGTTTAATATCTATCTATCTCCCATGAGGATAATGGTCAAGCAGATTGTCTTCTCAGCCCAACACCCAGCACAACGTAAGCGCTCAATAACGTAGAGCCAATGGCTAAGAAAGTAAATATTCTAACACATTATTTCAAATCTTCTGGCTGGAGAACTCGACATAAATGTGCCCTTCCATTTTGTATGCAGATCACCGTTGTGGGTGGAAAACGGGCCACATACTAAACCTGATAAACTCAGGGAAGGCCAGCATGGCAGGCCCTACAAACTCAGAGACTGAAATTAACCACATAGGATAGTCTGAATATACAAATTCCTAAAAGCGGGTCATGGTGGGTAGTCACATCCTAGGTCTGTAGCTTCTTTGACAAAGGTCAATCTTTACCTTAAGTGAGCCTGCCCATTGTCTTTTTGCATCTAAGATAACATACTTTTGGAATATCAGAATAACCCCCTTTCTCAGGACTCCTCAGGGCACCACTGCACCAGAGCATAAGACCACAAAACCCCTCATTGTTCCCCAAATACCATCTCTATGTACTGTAAAATGTTAATTAACTATCCTGAACCCACAAATGTAAAAGTATGTGTCTCTCCATTTTACTTTTTATCCAATCCCAGAGGTTTCCCCGCTTTGCTTCTCTCCTGCCCCCTTACTCTACCACCAATACATTTCATGTAGCCGGCCTTACATCTTTTGATTCTGACGTATAAAATAAGCTGCAAAACTGCCATTCAATGGCACATTTTCTCAATCCGTTTTTGAGAAATTTTGCTTTCGGGCAATTGTCATCAGTTTGGTTCAAACAAACTCATTAAAATTCTCTACAGACACCGTTTAATCGCACCCACCCAAATCAAACAATTTCCAAACTGTTAACCTTCACAACGCTAACCTTTCAGCATCTCAGTTACCATGCCCTTGCCTTCTGCAACTAGAACTTAAGTGTATTTCATGTTTAAAAGTAAAGCAAATACAACTTGACGTCAGGGGCCCTATTCAGCAAATGGAACTTGAAAAATTCTGTTTTAAGAACCCCCAAATCACCATCACAGCAAACCTCCTAAATTCGGGGGCAAAGTGGAGGTGTGATACCTCTAGTCTGGGGTTAATTTGCGGTATGAAAGGGCCATCCCCAAAAGCCGGCTCTCTTTTTTCTTCTTGCGTCATTCACCTTAGCTCCATAGAAGGACCCTAAGGCCAACAACGGCCAAAACCATCATCTCCCGATCAACACAAACCTCCCCCGGGGGTGTCTCGGCCTTCAAGCTCTGGAGGTCGGGGTGACCCTGGAGGGCGAGGCGCGCCCGGGAAGGGACTGGCACAGACTGCACGTGGTCCCGGAGACTCCCCCGACTCCCTGCCGCCTCCCCTTGCAGTCAGCCCGTAGCAGCCGCTCACCTTGGTTGCGCGCTGGCGAACCTGAGCCACCTCTTTCTGAAACTTGGCATCCTCCTGCGGGTTCAGGGCCAGGAGCGGATTGGCGGGGCCTGCAAAAACCGCCATGCCGAAAGGCTCCACGCAGAAAAGCTCCACGCGGATACTCCGGAAATGCCAAGCCCACAGCTCCTCCAAAGCGGAAGTGGAGGTGGGAGACGTAAGCAGCGCGACGCGGGGCGGGACACCGTGCACGGGGGCGGGGCGGAGCCGGGACGGGGCGAGCTCTGGTGCCCCCTGCAGGCTGAGCGCCCCTGGACCTCGGTCTAGCACCTGCCACCTGCTTAAAACCGCAGATAGTAACTTGTTCACGCCTCCTTGCGGCCAGCCAATTTCAAGGGGAGTTGGTGGTGGTGGGGTGGTGGTTTTAAAAAATAAACTCCACAACAATACCCGTGACCTGAGGTCTTGCTAACCATTCTTTAATTCTTTTTCCTTTTTCACTTACTTGTTTTGTGAATCCTTACTGTGCAACCCTGTGCTGCTGCCCTTTAGGGAACTTCCAGACTGGAGGGAGGGCTGGGTAAAGGAACTTTAAGGGTGGGATTGGTGCTATTGAGACACGTATGAGCCCCGTGTGGGAGAGGCACACTGGGTGACTATGGAGGGCCTCCGGGAGCAGAGGTGGAATTTGAGCTAAGACCTGAAGGCTGGAAGGAGAGGCATGTAAAGACCTAGAAGCCCATGTGCAAGTAGGAGGACAGAGCGTGCAGTGTCCTTAGGGCTGGAAAGAAGGAACTGACCAGTGTGGTTGGAGCTCAGGGAATAAGGGGAGAGCGGGGCTTGGAGGGCAGGGTGGAGCTCTAGAGTTCTGCGTGTCCAGGTGTTTTGTTTTGTTTTTAAAGACTTTTATTGGGGAATTTGGGGGATGGGAATAGCGTTGGGGAATTGGGGGAAGGGGAACAGACAAGTTGCTGTTGTTTTGTTCTTCACTCTAGTTGTGGAGGACGTTGCTTCACTAGCCCAAGTTGGCACCATCATTGCGCTCTTCCCGGGCGAGGCAGATCAGTCGCCGGCTTCTGGAGGCCGCTCACTGCAGCTGCTGGCCGCTCACGCTGGCTGCTGGCTACACACGGTAGCCCATGGCAACCCACTGCCACAGGGGCTGCAGCTTACGCCCTTACCGGTGACTCACGGCAGCCCAGCTCCAGGTTGAGCCTGTTGTTCAGCATCTTAGCTGTGGAGGGCAGTGTCACTGACCCTCATATGTGGGATCCGAACCGGGGCCCTCTGGTATCCCAAGCCAGTTCTTAACCATTGTGCCACTCGGCCGGCCCACTGCGTGTCCAGGTTTAAAGCTTGGTTTTTATTGTAAATGCAAGGGGATGTGAGGGTTTTAAGCAAGGCTGTGGCTCTTAATCCTTTTCAAATACTACTCTGGTAAGATTGGAGAGTGGATTCCAGAGGAAGCAGGGAGACAGAGGCTACCTGGAGTTATTGTCCAAGCAGAGCTGGTCTGGGGAATAGTGGCAGCAGGTGTTCCGGAGCCAGTGAAGACCGAGTTTGGCTGGTGCCCTGGTGTATATGCAGGAAGAGTGGAGGGAGGTCTGTAAGGTAGAGTGGTATGGGAGGGATTGTACAACAAGGGCCAGCCTACTTCCTCTGGCGGGCACTTACTTCCCAAGCTGCCTTTGCCTCCTTCACCCCAGTCTCCCTCAGCTCAACTCGATCGTCACCACTCAGGGCTAGGCTAGCCTGTGACTGTGCAGCTGAGGTCAGCTCTTTCTATTAAATGCTGTCTTACAACTATTTTCATGAACATGTTGGATTGTCAGGAGAGTGCAAGCAGAGAGCAATTTTATTCTTTCTCGGGACTGCTCCTTTTCATGGACTTGTTCCCACTCCTCCCTGGATGAAATCTTGGGGGTGGGGGGTGAACCGCTCCAGATATTAGCAAATAGAAGCATTTTGCAAGTGTTCAGAATCTAATATCAAATGTCTCCTCTCCCGCAGCTCAGACCTATCTCAGGCGAGAAACTCTCAAGGCAGTTGCAGTTGACACTGTTCCTCTTGGGTCCACCTTCTCCCCTGAACCCCAGTTTCTGTTTTAGTCCTCTGTAGGTTTGGTAATTTGTAATGGCAGCCCTAGAAAACTAATATGGTCACCATGACTGGTGCAGCCTGAAATGGTTTCCTGAGGAAAATGCTGGTCCTACGCCTGTCTTGGCATGTTGGGGCTGGAGGAGCTCCTGGATGTTCACAGAGGATGCTAGGCACCCTCTCCTCATCCTCACCAGATCACAGAAGCCAACCCTTAATGGGGACAGACAGTCTAATCCCCAGATCCTCACTGCAGCCCAAACCGGACCTGCTTTTGTTTTTACCCTGCTGAGCCTTGGTCACTCTCCGTTAACAGTGATTTCCAGTGATTTCTGCTATGGTGCTGCTGGGTAATATCTCATTCTGCTTTGCCTCTGCTACTCAGGGCCTGAGGGTCTCTCTGAGACCTGGGAAGGTGGGCACAGGAGTTTATGTGGCATCCTGGTCAGACCATCCAGAAACCTATAAACCCCTGGCCGCATGTCTGGGGGAAATTCTCTCCCTTCCTGGGCCTCGGGTTTCCCATGCATAAAGAAGAGTTTGGGTGAGAAGATTGTTCAGGTCTTCTGGGGGAGTTTGCACTCATAGCTTCAGCGACATGACTAATGATCAGATTAGCAGTTGGACTTCCTCATGCCCAGGTGACTGGCTAGTGCCACGTGTGTTTGTCCTTCCTTTTCTTTTCCTAGCCTTCCTTCTCCCTCCCTCCCTCCCTCCCTTCCTTCCTTCTCTCCTTCCCTGCCTCCCTTCCTTGCTTTTGTTTTGCCATGTAGAGGTGGGAGACTACTGACACCTTGGGTGGGACAGTTCTTCACTGAGCTGGACTGTCCTGTGCATACTACTTTGGCACCACATCCCCCAGCACACAACTTCCAGTAATTATAATAACCAAAATGCCTCCAGGCACTAACTTCCACACATTCTGAGTGAACTGTTGAGTGTGCTCACTATGTATTTTTCCCTTCCCTGGCCCCCAATGACCTCCATGCCACCCCTCTGATGGCATGTCATTTCCATGCTTCCATCATCACCACCTATAGGTTAGAGCACCTGCTGGAGGCCCAGCATGATGAGGGCTGGTGAGTGGGATATGAGGTGGGGTGGGCGGCAGAGCTGGGCAAGCAGCAGGTGAGGCAGGGTGTGCTGAGTGTCTGGGAGCTGGGCCTTAGGAGGAAAGGGATCTGTGCGGTAGGCCTGAGGGTTGGCAGGAGAAGGGACACAGATGAGCACTGGGAAGGGCTGGGGCGCTCAGCCCTGTCCACTGTACCCCTCCCCTATTCTCCTCCCGTCTTACCATTCTGCCTGGTCCTGGTGGGTCATCTGATGTTATGCCCCTGATAGTGGGCCAAGATATTGGAGTCAGCCTGCTTGGCCCTGCTTAGAGGAAATATTTAACAATTATATTATAAATGGGGAGGGGAAACGGAGAGGGGAAAGTAAGGTTATCATACCTCACTGGAACTAGTAAAATGATGACACCAGTAGACAGTGATAAGCTATGTATAGATAATGCAGTACTTAGAGCAGCCATAAAAACAGCTATATAAAGAGATACATTAGGGCCGGCTGAGTGGCGCAATGGTTAAGAACTGGCCTGGGATGCCAGAGGGCCCCGGTTCGGATCCCACATATGAGGGCCAGTGACACTGCCCTCCACAGCTAAGATGCTGAACAACAGGCTCAACCTGGAGCTGGGCTGCCGTGAGTCACCGGTAAGGGCGTAAGCTGCAGCCCCTGTGGCAGTGGGTTGCCATGGGCTACCGTGTGTAGCCAGCAGCCAGCGTGAGTGGCCAGCAGCCACAGTGAGCGGCCTCCAGAAGACGGCGACTGATCTGCCTCAGTCGGGAAGAGCGCAATGATGGTGCCAACTTGGGCCAGTGAAACAACGTCCTCCACAACTAGACTGAAGAACAAAAAGCGACAGCAACTTGTCTGTTCCCCTTCCCCCAATTTCCCAGCACTGTTCCCATCCCCCCAATTCCCCAATAAAAATCTTAAAAAAAAAAGAGATACATTAAAAACACTATAATTTCTGGTCAAGATGGCAGGGTAGGTAAATGCTGTGCTTGCATCTTGTCATGACAACATCAAAATTACAACTAAATTATAGAACAACCATCATTGAGAATTGCCTGAAGACTAGCTGAACAGAAGTCCTAAGAACATACAGAATGTGCCACCTTGAGTCTGGTAAGAGGCGTGGAGATGCAGAACAGGCTGGTCCCAACCCACCAGTGGCCGTTAAAAACCAGGAGGGATATCTCAGCTGCAGAGGTCCTCTCGGAGGAGTGAGGGGTCCCAGCCCCACAGCAGGCATCCCAGGCCAGGATTCCAGTGCCAGGAAGAGAAGTCACTACAGCTTCTGGTTATAAAAATCAGTGGAGTTTGTGACTGTGTGAGATGGAGAGCTGGTGGACTCTCAAGCACTCCTCCTAAAGGGCCCACACACAGACTTAATTGCTGATGGACTCACTCACTCTGAGCTCCAGCACTAGGGCAGCAGCTCAGAAAGCACCAGTGACATATGGGGAGGAACTGAGTCATCTGCCTTCAGGGCAAGGGCTGGAAGGGCAGCTCAGCTTTCTGATAGACAGAAGTGCTGGCAAAATCCATTGTTTCTTTCTTGAGCCCTCTCCCCGCCCTCCTCCCAGTGTGCAGACACACGTAGCCATCATATCTGTGTCTCTATCAACCTAGCTAACACTATTCATCTGCCATGCCCCCCTCTCCAACCCGCTGTGATTCCTTGAGACCCAGTCCCATCCAACTTGCTGGCCCACCCAAACTGCTTCCAGTGGCTCTTCCATTCAAATGGCCTTTCTTGGCTCATGATTTGGACTTTCTGAAAATCTCTCAAAGGTTCACAAACCCCAAATAAGAAGCATCTAGCCTTGGCATACCTCGTATGTCTTGCTAAGCAGCCCCAAGCCAGGCCCTAGTACAAGCCGGCCTCAATTTTCAGCTTAGCCTCTTCCAGGCACCTCCAGGCCCAGTGTGGGTGGAAGACATCTGCAGATTGCTTTGTGACTCATGCTAGGTGACCCTAGGCAATACCCAGGCAGTGGCTGAACTTGGCCTGTGTCGGGGCCCTTTCAGGAGGCCCAA